CCCCACACCCGCCCCGTCCTGCGGCTGGCCCGCGTCGCGTCGCGGCGCGGCTCGGCCGCGAGCTGCCCGCGCCAGCACGCGCCACGCGCGAGCAGCTACTGGCGCTGGCCTCGCAGCTGCTCGGCCCAGGCCCCGCGGACGCGGCAGCGGCGGTCCTCGCGTCTCCGGACTGGGGCCCTCCGGCGGCGGCCGGCTTCTGGGGCGCGCTGCTGCTGGCGCTGTTCGCGGCCGCGCCGGCCGGCGGCGGCGGCCCCGCGCGCCTGCTGCGGCGGCTGTGGGCCGCGTCCGCTCCGACCAGCAGGCCGCAGGCTGCCTTCGCGCCGGCGTCGCAGGGCGCCGCCGAGCTGCCGGCGCTGCCCTCGGACGACGCCGCCGCCGGCGCGCCCCTGGACCGCTGCGCGCTGCGCGAGTTTGTGTGCGCTGTGCTGGTGCTGCTGCGGCACGAGGAGGTGTCGGGCAGCGTGGCGCCGCTGGGCGCGGGCGGTCCATACGCTATGCTGCACCAAGACCTGCAGGAGGTGCGCCCGGCTGCCAGCAGCAGCTTCGCCTCCGGGGCGTGTACGCCGTCCGACAGGCAGCCCCTCCCCTGGATTGCCAGCAGTGCCCCCCGCGGGTCCCCTGCGTCCTGCGCTGCACCTCCCCTCGCTCAGCCAGACGCCAGGCAACCCGTTTCCGATCCCAACATGCACCCTTTTCCTCAAACCTGTGCCCTTGCTGCCCAATCCTCGCCCCTTCCACTGCTGTTCGGAAAGACGCTGACCTACCTGGAGTCTGCCGACAGCCACACGGCCACCAAGGTGATGCAGTCGGTGCCAGAGTGGCGCCAGGCGGGGCTGCCGCACCCGGCTGCGCGCGTGGAGCTGCCGGACGGCGCCTGCTTGACGCCCGAGCAGGTGTGGGTGACTGGCTGGTGACTGCCTGGTGACTGCCTGGTGACTGCCTGGTATCTGACTGGAAGCCGGCTGGTGACTGCCTGCAGACTGGCTGTAACTGGTCATTGTTGGCATTGGGGCTGTACTGCGTAAAACGGGCTTGGCAAGTTACTCAGCTCGCTGCCCTTGTTTCGTGCTGAGATGAAATCAGCCGTCGCAGACTGCTGGGCTGCAGATTCCAACTGCCGTGCGAAGCGCCATGCAGCACGCGCTGACATGGACTATGCTGCCGCCTCACTTCACAGGTCACCATCATCCAGTCGCTGCTGCCCTTCGAGCTGGGCGCCAACAACGCCCCCGTCTATGGGCCCACCCCCAACATGGTGCACAGGTGAGCGATGTATAAAATTCCAGCCGACGGGGACAAGTTTCAGGTTTTGTCAGCGCCCGCGCGGACGGTTGCCCGCCAACCGATGACGTTGAGGCAGCAATGCTCTTGAGGCTTTGCTGACTGCAGAAGCGCTGACTGCACCTTCTGGCGTGCGATCGCGTTGCTGCGTGCGCGCGCCCAGAGTGATCGCGTTTGCGGGCTGCGCCAAGACCACCACCCTGAAGGCCATTGCAGCGGCCCACCAGGGGCGCAGCCTGCTGTACGTCGCTTTCAACAAGGTGGGTGTAGGTACATTCATGTTGTATGTACAGGCATTTACCGTATATGTTACACATAGGTGTATAAATCTGTATTGGAAAACACAGGCATGCACCCTAGCCCGTGCACATTTTTCAGAAGACCTCCTGAATCACAGGAGCAGCGAGCCCCGTCTCCATACATGCAATGGCAACAACAACCCACACTCAGGTGGTCGCTGAGGAGGCGCGGCGGATCTTCCCAGCCAACACGTACGCCTCGACTGTGCACTCGCTTGCGTACCAAGCCGTCAGTCGCACACCACTCAGCCGCCGCTGCGGAGACCTGCGGTGAGCGCTTTGCCATTGCTTGTGCTGCAACCGCCAAACCCCTGGGGGATGTGGCGCAAGAGTCACTTACCATCTGCTGGGCAAACGCCTCCAAGCGCCAGCTGTTAAAAGGCAGCAGCGCTCACTTGCTCCAAGCCCTCCACGCTGTGCAAGCCCTCCACGCTCCTGCCCGTGCCCCCCTGCGCCGCGCAGCGCCCCGTCCGTGCTCCAGGTCAAGTCGGTCATGGGGGACTTCATGCGGGCCATGGGCCTCAGCGCGCCCACAGTGAAGGAGGCCAGCGTCGTGCACATGGCTGTCGAGCGGTTCATGACGTCGTCAGATGAGGTGAGTCAAAGACATCAAAAAGCGCCGCTGTCGCCCCGTTGTCTGGGCGCCGGTTGCATGTCGGGCTGTGAGGAATGCGGGGCGTGCATGCGCCAGTTGGCAACAGGCTCAGCCATCGCCGCAACCCGCATGCATACATGCACGCATGCTCTACAATCGCCACGACCAGACATTTTGCTGCACTGGACGATTCATTTCTGGGGCCGCCCGACTGGGCTCTGCAACACCGCACCCCCACCCCTCAGGAGGTGACAGAGGAGCACGCCTATAAGGCGCGCGCGGCGGTCGAGCGCGGCATCGAAATCGAGAAACAGAGGGGCGGGCGCGATGTGAAACCCACCCGGTGGGCGCGTGGTGGACTGCAGACCCTGATGTGCCTGCTCACTTCCGCCTGAACCCACATGCATGCATGCATGCATGACAGCCTGCATGAGATCTGTGCCTCTCCATGCAGCTGCCAAGCGCCAGGAGTAGCGCCCCCTTACTTCCCCTTTCTGCCATGGCAGCTCGTCGTCGCCTGCTTACCCCGCGCAACGCCCTCGCACGGCGCAGCGGCTGACGCCTGACGCATCCCCGGGGCTCACTCAATGCCGATGCTCGCCCCATGCCGTGACTAATCGTCCTGCAGGGACCTGCCGTACCAGTCGTATGCGCAGCGGGTGTGGCGGCGCATGATAGACCCCAACGAGACGTTCCTGCCGCTGCCCCACAACGGGTACCTGAAGGTCTGGTCCCTGGGCAGGCCGCAGCTGGTCAACCCGCACACTGGGCTGCCCTACGATGCTATCCTCATCGACGAGGCCCAGGTGTGGCTGGGGGGGCGCACGCTGCTGACGCGTAAGCTGTTGTCGCGCGAGTGCGAGCATGTGTTTGCTGATATGTGGGCATGCTGCCGCGCATGTGTGGGTGATGAGTGAGCACGCCCCTGCTGTGTGTGACCGGGATCATGACAAATGGGAGGACCAGCCCTTTCATAGAGCAGAGAGGGCGCGAAGGACGCAGTTCTTGTTTGAACAAACACATGCTGTCCTCCCGCCTGCCGGTCGAGTCTCGCGGGCCAAACCTCCTGCATGTGCGTGCGCCCCACCCCCGCCCTCAGGACATCAACGAGGTGTCCCTGAGCCTCCTGCTGCGGCAGCCGTGCGTCAAGGTGCTGGTGGGGGACCCCTACCAGGTGAGAGGGGCGCCGCGCACAAACGACTGCGACTTGCCGTTGGGGTCAAAGGGGAAGTGAGGGCAGCGGCCCCTACAGGGGCGAGAGGGGGTGCCGGTGCTGAGTTTCCCAAGACAGGGTGTTGAGAGCGCCTGCTGCAGTCTGGCTACTACGCTCTGCCCTCACCTATCTGCACGCACCTCCTAAGGTGATTTAGCACCTACGGGTTTGACACCCATGTGGATTGTGCAAACATGCGGTGCACACACACACACACACACGCACACGCAGCGCGCGCTCACACACACACACACACACACACACACACACACACACACACACACACACA